TGAGGCTTGGAGCAACCTGGTCTAGTGGAAGGTGTCCCTGCCCATGGCAGGGGGGTTGGAACTAGATGATCTTTAAGGTCCCTTACCCAAAGGGTAAAAGGGTCCCTTACCCTTACCCAAACCATCTGGGATTCTAAGTGGCAGCACCTATGGCATGAAGAAATCAAAAACTTTTTCAGCTTACCTGTTTCACCAGAACTGAGTAGACGTAAGGATCACACCCCTCAGCCTGCAGGCGATGCTGTCCCTAACACCCCCCAGCACCCCAGTGGTCTTTTTTGCTGTGCTTTTTTGGCTAATGGCCAGTTTTGTGTCCACCAGAAAGGATCCCAAGGTCCTCAGCAAGGCTGCTTTCCATCCACTCAGCCCCAGTGTGTATGCGTGCCGGTTGTTCCCCCTCAGGAGCAGGACTGTGTGTTTACCGTTGTGGAACTCCATGAGACTCTTCTCTGTCTGTTTCTTCAGCCTGCTCAGGTCCCTCTGAACGGCAGAACACCCATCTGGTCCACAGGCTGCTCCTCCCACCTGCAGACTTCCTGAGCTCTGACCCATCATCCATTTCACTTTTCGTTAGTGAAAAGATTAAGCGGTGTTGGCACAAGATGCACCCCTGGGGTACACCACTACTGACTGGACCTTGGGCCACTCATCACAGAGTGAGCCTCAAGCCAGTTTTCAGTCCACCTCACTGCTTGTCTGTGGGGGTTTTATGGGAAATTGTCAAACACCTTGTTCCTGTTCAGGTGAACAGCACCCACACCTCTCTCCTTGCTCGCTGAGTTACCTCACTGTGGAAGGCTGTCGGGTTGGTTAAGCATAATTTCCCTTTCATAAATCCATGCTATCTACTCACGATCACCTTCCCATCCTTTATGTGTCTGGAAATGGTTTCCAGTGTAAGTTGCTCCATCGCTTTCTTAGGGATCAGGGTGAGGCTGACTGGTCTGTAGCTCCCTGGCTCACTCTTCTTGCTCTTCCTGATGATGGGAGTGACATTCGCTTTCATTTTTCAGAACCCTCTCCCTGTCACCACAAAAACCAGATAATCGAGAATGGCCTCGCAGTGCCATCAGCCAGCTCCCTCTGCACGTGTGGGTGCCTCCCAACAAGCCCCATGGACTTCGGTATGTCCAGTTGGTTCAAAGGTTCCCTAACCTGGTGCTCTTCCAGGAAGGTGCCACTGGGGTACCAGCATACCAGTTCTGACATTGTCTGTGGCTCCAAATCCCACTTCACAGGCACGCTGCACGGAAACAAGCATCTCCGTTTCAAAATCTTCAGCCAGCGGGCCCGTTATTTCTAAGCTGTGTTTGTGCTTTGCGTGAGGGTGAGCACGGGGACGACTGTCGTCATTCCCAGCTCATGATGGGATGACACTGCACCATCCTTCTTCCCGTGGTAAGGGATATCATCACAGCTCCAGGCAAACTGTATTTTTGCTGCAGGCAAGGGTTCATCCCCGCGTTGGTCTTTCTGCTTCATCTGACCTGTGCTGCTTTTCACTGTGATAAAAAAAAAAAAAAACACCTATTTTTCTTTCTAAATGAGTTGACTTTTTCGGAGACAGTGTGCAGCATTCCTATGAGAATTCCAGACGCAGATTCTTTTTCAGTGCTTCGTGCCTGACAGCAAAACGTTAATGCTTGTTAGTGGTGGTGTGTGTCGTTTCACAGGCAGAGGGGTGCGTTTCCACAGTGAAGTCCTTCTGCACACTTCTGCTTTTCTGCTGCAAGTGTAAAACTGAAATACAAGGCATAAGGTGACCTTGTGATGAGGCAGGAGCCATAAGAATGTCTTAGGGGGAGGAGAAAGATATTAGAATTATTGCTTTACAAGTGTTCTGCAAAGTACCTGCTTTGCATGAACTCCTTGGCAACATGCCTGACGGTGATAAGGCATCTGGGTGCGGTGGACGTCGCAATTGCCCTGAGTGAGAAAAAAAAAGCCACCTGGGATTCTGAAAGAGATTGTAAAATGAGAGTTCACTGGCACACACGCAGAGCGGTGCGTGCTCCCTGAACACCGCATGTGTGGTAGGCGACAAGTCCGGAGCAGTGCTGCGAAACGCTGCTTAATCACTGGGAAGGGGAACTGAATCGCTCCCAAACAAAATAGTTGTCACCTTTTTTCTTCTTCGGTTGAGAGGAAGGAAACCTTCCAGCTTTTCATAACTGCAGAGATGTGACTCCAAATCCCAGCTTGGATCAATCATTCGCTGAGACTGGCAGAACTTGGAAGCAGAGGAAGAAATGTTCCTTGCCCTGACTTGATGTCTAGGCTTGCAGGTTCTCCTTTCAGGAAGGAGGAGTAACTGGATGCTATGCCAAATGTGTGAAATGGAGGAAGCCTCCCACATTTGGAAAAAAAAAAAAAAAAGAAAAAGTGAGCC